ATGACTGCCAGTGGCAACGTTAGGCTTTCGGCGACTTTACTGACACCAAGATGATCGAAAGAGAGATGCGGGTATGAGGCCGAAGTGGCTTATAATATTAGTGCTTAATTTTTATTATTTCACTTCTTCTCCCCCTTGCCTCAACCATCATCACACATCGCATGGCCTTGTTTACTTTATTTTTCTCCCGCACTGCAAGTTGCATGGATAGGCATAGATAGAACATCAGTTGAGAATTTTTATACCTACTATGAGACCCCCAAAAGTCCCCCAAGCCGACCCGCCCCAGACCCACGGCGATGCCAAGTTATATGATACTACAGTGCTACAGTGAGTATCATGGGGTAGACTATCAGGCATTTCCCACGGGTCCAGTATCCTATGAGACTCCAAGGCTCTTTCAACCCCATACAAACCCTGTTGGCTCCTGGACATCAACGACGCCATCAGTCGTCCAAATCGATACCCCTTCGTTCCTAAGCCAGCAGTACTGTACAGAAATAGCATTCGGGATAGAACACCCAAATACGAATCCAATAACAATGTAGAGTCAAAGCAAACAGGATTTCACAAAAGGGCCATAAATTGAGGGGCTGATCCCAAGCATTGTATCACACACAACACCTATGGTGAATACCATTTCTCTACAGTTATCAACACCCTCGACCCTTTCTTTGCCTACCCCGATCTTCACCGGCTCCACAATGGCAACGGGTGCTTACCCGGGTTTATAATCCGATATACGGCACCTCTATCAATCCCCAAGGGGCAAAAGCGGTACAATGGGCCAAAAAAAAATTAAAAATTTATAGCGTAGGCATCCGCCACGAGCTGGCAGACCGACAGCCAAAAAACACCATCTCCCGTGATCCCCTTAACACAGCTTTCACCACCGCGAAAAAATACCCCAATCTCCCCTCCTCCCCCCCACTACCCGTGTCCAAGAGCACAATGAAGTCAACTGTCCGTCTTCCAGCACACCCTCGGCGCACGCACGAAGTACTTGTACTCCTGCTAACGGGGAGGTAGGATTGGTTGAAAAGATCGAGCGCAAATATATAAGGATACGGTTCTGCAGTGTCTGGAGAAGACGTATGGCAAAGGCGAAGGGTTGAAGTGGTCCTATTGCTAGCAGATATTCTACCCGGCTTGTTCAAGCATTTCTAATATTTGGGACAAGCCTTCGCGGAACTATTCGCGCATCAAGGTGGAGATAGCTGGTGTATGCCATTGTTTGTTCAAGTGAACTTGAGCGTCGGTTTGGGTCCCTTCTACATACCCTGTACCCATAGCTTTAAGCATATGAAACCCCCCCAGGGAGCCTTCAAGGCATCTACGATTTCACAAACTAGACCCCCAAGTAAAACAGAAGCAATTTGCCCATAAACTGAGCTTCGATCAAGTACCAACAAAAACCCTACCACTCCCTTCACCCGTCTGTACAGTGCAACTCCGGTGGACAACTCCCTTCGCCGTCACCTAGTGATCCCAGGGATGCTTCAGCCCCAGAAACACTGCCTACAGTACAACCCCGTTAGCAAAGCAAACACTCCACTCAGCTATCTCAGGGTCTGACATACCCCATCCTTCTTGGCCCGATACATCAAGAAAAACCACATCGAAGCACCCAGCAGCTTCGCTGACACTGCGTATAATGGCCGTACGGGATGGATGTGGATCGGGTGAGTTCCGGCCATTTTGGGGGGGCTAACTTGTTCTGGCCTCTTGATACGCTCGTTATATATATTTTGCGTAAAGGAAGGGCGGAGTTTGGAGCTCACTGTTGGGGGTTTTCTTTTTTGTTTTCAGTCGCTTTTTGGTGCGAAACAGAACGGCGGGGGGGGGGTTGACCGGAGCTGAATGATGAGGTTGGGAGGGGATTAATGGTGGGAATGGAGGTGCGGGTTACCCGGATTTTTGTGAGGCTGATGAGGGATGATCAAGGTGCCGGGGGGTAATCCACTACCATACGAGGGGAAGAGACCGTAGGCATTACTTATGATACTGGTATTCGAGGATCACATATTGGTCCTGCAATGACCATTGAGCGCGTACGAAACCGCTTGAATAGCTAAAATCGATTTGGTAAATAGAAACACCACCCGGGAAGCTCCGATATTTCCCTGGAAGCAACCTTGCACAAAGTTGCATGATATTCCCCGCCAATTGGAAGTGACAGGGTTCCTTTTGAAGTGGGCGTGGTAGGCTTTGTACAAGCTTTTTTATTTATTTATTAAGTATTCATTAACTCTGGAAACCCCCCAATTAACGTGCGTATCCTATTGTGAAATGACCCCCAATCTACTCTACCTATGTCAATCCTGTATCGTCCTCTATTTCACACCAGGTTAGCCAGGATCCTACCAGCGGTGTGTGCAACAACTCACAATGAAGCTATCAAGTCCCATCTCAAATAGCTCTACCGCAACACCTTCACCTCCAGGGTGTTCAATTGCTGGTGGGTGAGGGATTAGTACCACGGGGAATCGGACAGAATAGAATCACCAGACAGAAACTCACGAGAGAGCGGATTTTTCGTAACTAGAAACAATAAGCACACCATACTAGTAGAATAGCTATAACAGAAGAATTCACCAAACTCCACATATAAGTTAACATAAATCTGGTGCAAAACAACTTTCAAATTATTCATCTTGACATCCGTTAGAAGCACAAACTTCAAATTTGTCGCGGTCTCGTAATAATGTAATTTATATGAACCGGTCCTATACGAAATGAACGAATCATCCCTATTCCCCCTTGTTAGCACCCTCCATCTCTCGCTAGCGGTATAGAGAAGTATAAACTCACGGCCCCGAAAGCTTCCGCACCATATTCCGCAAGGAAAAGACCACGCCAAATACCAGTTTGGCGTCATCCTGAACACTCAATCTCCCGCCGCGACTAGATGGGTGAACTTCGTTTTGAAGCTTGGAGCTCGTGGAGGAATGCCTATCGCTTGCGAGGGCGACCGGAGAATCGACCGTCGAGGCGGAGGAAGAGGTTGGGCGGAAAGTGCGATCCCGTTGGTGCCATTGTTTGACGTATATGCATTCGCCTAGGGAGGGGGGGTGTTAGTGTACTTGTATTGGGAGGTGAGACTGGAGCGTACAGTGGCGGTCGAAGATGTAGAAGGAGTATATTGTCATTTTTGTGGGGGCGGTGGATGTTGAGGGCTGGAGGATTGGTGGTGCTTGGAAGTGCTATGGCATGGGTCTGCCAAGGTCGATTGGTGTATATGTCACGTGATCCCATTAAAAGATATGGTAGCACTGTCATAATTATCATGTGCAGCAGCTGGGATAGGGATATGGCTTGTGAACAATACCAGTATAATAATATTATTATTATCATAATTGTGATTATTTTCCACTTTATGAACTGAGGCTTTGGCGGCTTAGAGTGACTGCTGAGGCTCCCTGGTGCTATTGCATGTGTAAGTAAACCTCTACTCGAGTAATGGAGGCTGCAGATCCCTCGAGTCGCAGCCCTACGCCTCTCTCAGTAGGCACCAGTGCCAATCTATGTCTCACTCATGCACTCCTCTCACCAGATCGCGGGCGCTCGTAGGCCTGACAGCTACGAGTACTACCGTATGATACACCAGACAGGTGGGATGCAATTGGCGCAACGGCAAGTACAGTAAGGCTCTGGTGCGCTGACCGTTATGCAGTTGATAACTGGTATTCTCTAAGGTTGTGACTACTCGTACTAACCCCACGGCTAGGCACGCACTACTCGAGTGCCTTGTACGAGCACTTATACCTAGCCACTATATCATACTAGGAATCCTTAATATGAAATTATCGACTATTCGTGGTTAGGAACTTGTCTAGTGGACCGCTGTGGCAGAGCTTGCCTGCCTGCCCATTCACTTATTTGTTGTAGGGCGTATTTGTGAAATTCTGCGCCGCTATTGATGCCCAATCGACCGAGTTTAGATTCGGAGCTTTTTGTGTTATGATTGGTTAGGGGATGTGGCAAGTGAGGTTTACGGGTTTCTTTTTCAAGTGGGATACTTGTACAATTCGGTACGCATCGCTGGTAGCTAGAGTTCTGAAAGCGTTGAATTATGTATGAGTGCACAGCTCTATTTTTGACTTAATATAAAAGGTGGGAAATAGCTGTGGGCGGTGATGGCGGAGGTGGTGGTGCTGCTACTAACGGTAGGGTGGAGCCTGCAACTCTTGCGGCTGCAGGCGCACTGACACAGCAATCTACTTGTACCGGTATGCCTGCCGTGGATAGGCAATTTCACAAGTTTGGGTCAGCCGTTTTGACCAGTCCTGATGATCCTTGTTCCACCTCAACTTTCACATTCAAGCGATCCCCCTCCCCCTCCCCCTCCCTCCCTCACACCATGAACACTCTTGTCGCAACTACACCTCGTACTTAATAGTTACAGCTTTTCCATCTAATTCCCGCCTGTTCACCCGCCATACTCTTCCGATGGTTGTCGAATCTCCCGTTTCCCTAACCTTTTCGGATATGGAACTTCTTACCCCACCACCCCCCCCACGGCAACCCGTGGTCAGACATCTCTCGGCTCCCCTAGAATCTCTCCACTCACCCTTGAGGCACCACCGACGTGCAGCTTCCGTCGGGAGACCGCCTGTCCGAGAAACCTTAAACGCGAGTCTATCATACGAAGACGAAGACGGAATTAGAGTGAACCAGTGCAACCCCCTCTCCCAGTTTTTATCATGTTCTTCCCCCTATCTAATGCCTGCCAAGGTATCTCATCAAGCAAGAAATTGGACGAGGTTCTTACGGTGCAGTTCACGTGGCAGTGGATCAAACCGGTCAAAAATTTGTATAGCTGTCAAACACCGTTGACTTGCTTCCTAAGCTAACTATACCTTTTCCTCAGGCAGTCAAAGAGTTTTCCAAGTCGCGGCTTCGGAAAAGGTCGCAGTCTCAAATTCTAAGGAGACCCCATCATGCTCGTAGGAGAGGCGGGATCATGAGCATGCCTCCTGCCTACGGGCGATCTGCTTCCGAAATACACAGACAGGAGGAAGCTGGTAACCCCCTTTACCTCATTCGGGAGGAAATTGCGATTCTCAAAAAGCTTCATCATGAAAATGTGGTGCACTTGGTTGAGGTATTGGATGATCCGGAAGGTGACTCTCTCTACATGGTGTTGGAGATGTGTGAGAAGGGAGTGGTGATGAAGGTTGGGCTGGACGATACCGCCGAACCCTATCCAGAAGAGAAGTGTAGATTGTGGTTCCGGGATATGATACTTGGTATCGAGTACTGTATGTTTCTAACCTTGCCGCATTTCGAAACTATTGACTTACTCGACCATAGTGCATTCTCAAGGGGTTGTCCACCGTGATATTAAGCCCGACAATTTGCTTCTCTCGAAAGACGATGTCCTCAAGATCGTCGATTTCGGGGTAAGCGAGATGTTTGAGAAAAAATCCCAGATGCTAACAGCAAAGTCGGCTGGGAGTCCTGCATTCCTGCCGCCGGAGTTGTGCGTTTCCGGTCACGGAGATGTGAGTGGAGCCGCTACTGACATCTGGGCGATGGGTGTGACGTTATATTGCCTGTTGTTTGGCAAACTTCCGTTCAGCCATTCCGGCGTCGTCCAGCTTTACGAAGCGATCAAAAACGACGAGTGAGACCCGCTGAATTAAATCCTTTGAACCGCACTAATACTGTAGAAACTAGACCCTTCATTCCCGATGGCCTCAATCCTGATGCTGCGGATCTTCTGAGAAGGCTTCTTGAGAAAGACCCGGATAAACGTATCAAAATGCCAGAATTGCGGGTAAGGATCTTATCTCAGTGGTGATTTGATACCTTATTTCTAATGCTCGACAAAAGGGGCATCCTTGGGTTACCCGTAATGGAGAAGATATGCTTTTGCCCGAGGAGGAAAACACTTCTGAAGTAATTCCTTCACCAACCCCTGAAGATGTAGCATCTGCTATCACCAGAAGCATCCGTAATGTTATGGCAGTGGTATGTCGACACGGCGCACTTTTCATCTAGCCTCGGCCTGTTAACCTGCGATATAGGTCAAAGCTGTTCAAAAATTGAAGCGCTTGACTCTCAAACGCTTCCGGCACCCATACCTATCTGCCAAAGATGGCCCCCTATCAGTTGACGATCTTCCGGCCCGGTCGAAGACCTATGACTGGGATAACCGGAGGCACTTAGAACAGAAGATCGCTGTGTCAGGCGTTACGAAAGATATGTCCGTGGTCAGCATCAGTCAGACCCCGCAAAAACCCGATAGTTCGGCTGCTGGAAACGAGGATACTGAAATGGCGGACAGCATTCAACTCAATGTTGAGTGCCATCATTTTGGAATTTCAGAAACGGTAGATTCGCCCATGGAGGAAAGTCCACCATTATTTAACGAAGTGCCAAAGGGCCAGGCAATATCTCCATTGGATGAGGAGCCGCACTTTCTTCAGATTGGCGTAGGAAGCGACCAACCGGCAGGGGAGGCGTCGAGAGTGATCAGTGAATCTCCTCCCCCAACTGAGGAGAATGTCTACGCAGAGGCATATCGAGAGGATGTGGCACGTATCATGGAGGAGCGAGGGCAATCGGCAACAATTTACCTCACAAAATGGGTAGAGTAATATGTCACACATAAGAATTGAATAACGGAGGCAGCCCCGCCACCGCCTGCATTTTTTTTTTTTTCACAAGCTCACTTTGCGGTGAAATCAAGCTCAACAGACCCCGGATGTGCGGGGTTAGAGAAAATGATGAATGGTCTGGGCGCTGAGTGGTTCATTGGATTTCCGGCCTGGGATCTTTGTGATGATCGGACTTTTTTTGATTTTTTTTTAGCCCGCTCTCTTTTCTATCTTTTCTATCTGTGGGGTTCAAGTAGGGATGCAATGCTTTGCAGTATGATGCTGTGAGGGGTGCTGTTGCGGTAGTGTATCGCAGCGTACGGTATTGATAAGTGAATTCATACAAGCATTCTAATTTTCCCAATTGACCGAAAGGGCAAGAGTTTCAAGGTTTCCCATACGGTAGCGGTATGCATGCACCGATACAATGCTATGATCCTGTAAGAGTAGGGCCTAATAAATTGATATAGCCCCATCTGCACGTATCGTACCGGTATGCATCCCATACCTATCTTGGCCCTTCCATGTTTGTAGGAGATGGGAACAGTAGTTCCTCAGTGAAAAGCCAGCGCAAGCAGGAAGTAAGGCAAGGTGGTCTACACGAGAGCTAGTGTACACAAACTAACTAAGCACTGTGCTCGTACACAAACTCGTAATAATTTAACTTCAGAATGTTAGTACAGAAATACCCACAGCCTAAAGAACAATTGGGGATGTCGATTGGGATGCCAAAATGGACCATCCCTCCATTCCCCCCACCATACCTTACCAAACCTACCACCACACGATATCATACCAATTCCAACCGATTCGACAGGGCGAACAATTCGCAAGGAGAGATAGAGCGAGAGATAGACGAAACCGGCACCCCAGTGCGGTGCCGTAATGCCGCATCATGGCAGTCTATCCGCGACCCCATGATACGGTGCACGAGCATGGTGTGTTTTGAAATCCTTCTCCTTCCCTCCCTCCCCCATATAGCTAGGAAGAGGGCGCAATGATGCAGGATCCGTGAGCGATTTTTTTTCCCAAGCGACAAAAAGACGAAGGAGAAGAGGAAAACAGGCTGGAAATGATAATATACAGTAGATTAGATTTTTTTAAAAAAAAATTTTCCTGCTCCAAGCTTGCGTATGCGGAATAAAAGCGCTCACTGGTTCACGGTAGGCTACATGTTTTATGGATACTGTGTTTCAATTTGTTTTTGTGTTTGTGTTGGGTCTTTGTTGTTGATGGTTTTGGTGGTATCATAAGTGTATGGTGTGAAGGTGCAAGGAGAGCGATGCCCTGGTACCGTATTAGCATCATTAAGAGTTAACATATACCAACTTATAGTTTAACGGTACTGCACGAGTATGATGTTACATCCTTTAAACGTGAAATAGGGAGCCGGAAGAAGGTTCCTGATGGACCCAAAGGTCCCGAAACCACGTGCTATTTTTTCTTTTTTTCTTTTGTTTCCTCCTGTTTTCCCCTTCAGAACAGATGACTTCCCAGCCAAATGGACACGGTATCACACTGTAATCAGAGGGAAGGCACGCTGAATGGTCGCCTGCGCAGAGAAGGGGTGCACAACATCGTACCGAGCAACGGTTATTGTAAATAGATGTGGGTTTTCGGCTCATAAATTTTTTTAGTGCAAATGTTAAGTACGGATTGAATGACATGTTTATTGAACAAAAATTGCCCTCGTGGTGGGGAGGAATAATGGATCAATCGATAGTGATTGAGTGACCTAGTTGAGTGATAGGGGGTTGCTGCTTGGGTGCAGTACTGAACGGTATGATAAAAGTAAATTATCGGCATCTAATGGGTGAAAGGGAGGAAGAGAGAGAACCATTTTATGCACCAGTACAGTCCAGTAAATTACCCCTACTCTCGGTGTAGACGGAAAACACAGCACAACATACCGGCACAGTGCCGGTACTGCTGTTTCTAACTATAACACAGTGGTTGATATGGCACCTCTGGTATATTTGTTGTAAGTGCCCCCTCAGGATGTAAACATCATATCCAAGCCATCCTGGATAGCCAACCCCCGATCATATAGTCCTCCATGCTTGTTAGAGCCGCCAGTCGGGAGGGTGAGAGACAGAAAGGCACCGGCATTGGCTGTGGCTGTAGCTCCAACTCCTTAAATGCCGGCGGTGGAGGAGAACGGCCCCATTGGTATTGTGAACCACTTGGGCTGTCTCCATTCTCTCCATTCTCATATCAAAAAAATTTGCTGTAGTTGTGATACCGGTGTCATCATCATACCAGAACTGTTCCTATTCTACTCAACACGAACCCGCTACGCTAGGCCGTTTAAACACAATATAACCCCATCCTCTCTTCATTCCTACCGCAAAGTTTGCTACTCCTCCCTCTTAACTTGCATCTGTTTGACACACTCTCAATACCGGTGGCAAAGTGGTTCGTGTCAACAACAACTAGAGTTATAAATTTACTATCCTACGCCCTAATCCTCTCTCCTAAGCCTTTTCTCATTACCCTCTCTCTATCTTAGGCCATCATCTCCGTTAACCGTTCTTCATCTCTGTTAATCTCACTATCAGCATATCTCCGCTGCCCTAGTAACTGTTACCAAAACAAGCATCCATGTTTGGCCTTCCGTCATTGCTATCGAACAGGGCGAGTCGATTCTTCTCCTTACGGCGTGTCTCTAGGCCTGCAACCATTTAGGTTTGCAACCGCCTGAAAGGCAAAAGGCAGACAAGGATTGGGGGTGAAGATAATTACCGTGAAGAATACTGGTTGTCCCTGATACCTCAACCCCGAAAGCCCGAATATTAGAGCGAAAAAAAAGTGAACGAAAGATAGAGAGATATAGGAAAATAACACACCGAAAGAAGGAAAAGAAAAGAAAAGAAAAAAAGAAAAAAAAAAAAAATAGTCCCGCACGCGATCATCAAGCTGCTGCCGCTCCATCTCTTTTTCCTCCTCGTCACTTCTTCTCCTGTTTCCTTCGTGGCAGTCGTATCCTACTTCTCTCACTCTTCTGGCTCCAACCAATCCTCTCCCTTCGTCCCACTCCTCCTCATCTCACCGCCCCCCCTCCTCTCCCTTCCCCCCGACAACGACATACATACATACCCTTTTTAAAGCCCGAGTTACCAGCCGCCCCTCCTTCCCTTGAATTTTCCCTTTCGCTACTTTTTTATTTTTCCTTCCTATTTCGAATACTCTCTTAATTTTTACCTCTCTCACTTTTGCTCTCACTGCATTGCCCGTTGGTACTGTCCCTTCTCCTTCGTTTCTTCCCCCTCCCCTTTGTCCGCGCTACTCGTTGTCGCCCTCACCGCTTCGCCCTGCTTCAGCGACCGCTTCCCGCCATTGTGGCTGTCACCGCACCCGCCCCAGCATCTTTATACCGGCCTAATCTCGGGACATACTCTTAATACCTACTCCGAGGATTCCCCCAGTTCTGTGCGGGAAACTCCTTCAATCGCCACCATTCACTTTCCCACGCTTTTACCTCACCTCCTACTACTACTACATCAATAACAATGATTGAGCCCCCACTACAGAAGAATAACGCCTCTTCGAGCCTGAATGAAGGCCGGTCCTCTCCCACTATGTTGACTCCTGCGGTTTCATCTTCGGCTCCTTCGACCACCGCGTCCCCGGTCCTCCTTCCTGTCCCTGGGCAATCCACTTCGCTTTCTTCCCTGCCAGGGTCACTAATGTGTCCTGGCACCGCCACTCCCCCTAATATCCCGGAAAAGAAGTCTATATCATCGCGGCTGCACCGAATGTTCTCTCAATCTGGTGGTAAGGCGAAGGAAGAGAGTAAGGGTACTCCTCGTGAACGGCATGTTGGTGAGGGAAGCGCTTCGGACACCGATAGCAGTGCCCTCTCTGGACGGGAAAAGGACATAACAACTAGCCCCGATCAAAAATCATCATCGACAGAAAAGAGGCCTGCGGCCAATGCGACTACAGATAATAAGAACGGCCTACCGGCGGTATTACAACGCTTTCAAATGCTTCCCGACGGCACTCATGAGCATCACCTCCGTAGTGCAAAGAGGCAAGAAAAGCTCTCGGATATGCTCAGGGATCTTATCGGAGGCAAGAAGAAGGACGACCACGGGGAACACGATCGACTCAGTCTTATGTCGAGTTGGGTAGACCAACTCAAAATTGACAGGGATAAGCTAGCAAGTGATCGGAAGGGCGGTCCGAACTCCACAGCAACCCTCGTTGAGAAATACGGAAAGTGCCAGGAGGTCATCGGACGTGGGGCTTTCGGAATAGTTCGTATATCACATAAACCGGATCCCAAGAACGGTCACTCGGAACAGCTATACGCCGTCAAAGAATTCCGTCGCCGACCCCAGGAATCGCCAAGAAAATATCACAAACGGTTGACTTCCGAGTTTTGCATCTCATCGTCATTACGGCACCAGAACGTCATACACACTCTGGATCTGTTGCAAGATGCGAAGGGAGATTATTGCGAGGTGATGGAGTTTTGCGCTGGAGGGGATCTCTACACCCTGGTTCTCACGGCTGGCAAGCTCGACGTTGCAGAGGCAGACTGCTATTTTAAACAGCTGATGCGCGGTGTGGAGTACATGCATCAAATGGGGGTTGCTCATCGGGACCTTAAACCGGAAAACCTTTTGCTCACTACGAACGGAGCACTAAAGATTACCGATTTCGGTAATGGTGAGTGCTTTCGGATGGCGTGGGAAAAGGAGGCCCACATGACTTGCGGCTTGTGCGGTTCTGCACCCTACATCGCCCCCGAAGAATATACAGACAAAGAATTCGATCCTCGTGCAGTTGATGTTTGGGCCACAGGTGTTATCTACATGGCCATGCGCACTGGAAGGCATCTCTGGCGAGTCGCAAAGAAGGATGAGGACGAATTCTTCGAAAAATATCTTCAAGGGAGAAAAGATGAGGGCGGTTATGCACCTATAGAAAACCTGCACAGGGTGAGCTGAGAAGGGTTACATATTTGATTCCCCCCACTCTCCTTCCTTGGTAAACATCTACTGACTCATGCCCCCTCCTACAACTTAGGCGAGATGTCGCAACGTGATCTACTCAATTCTAGATCCTAATCCAACGAGAAGAATCACGGCATCTCAGGTGCTAAAGTCAGAGTGGGGTAGGGAGATTACAGTCTGTAAAGAGGGTGAGGAAGGTGCGTTACGTCAATAAACAACCCTTGCATTGATGCTGCAATGAGTCTAAGTTATGCTCTTTGTCCTCTCCTAGGGCTTTAACGACGTCAATAATGGTGTTCATGGTCAATGGGGGCATTCAATTCATTCGATCGATCAGCAGATGTTGTATGGGGGCAAGACAAAAAAAAAAAAGACCCACTTTAATTCAAATTCCTCAATGCAACACTACCACTCAAATCCATTATATTCTCCAACTGTATCATTTATTGTTCTGGCTATCGTTTGGGGTTTCTTTTTTATAACCGCTGCTTTTACGTTCACCTCTATTCTCTTCCTTCTCTCATTGATTTTGCATTTTTTCTCTCTTTCGTACTCTACTCGTACCCGCAGGTCTAATTTTTATTTTTATTTTTACCTTTTTTTTCTTACTCTTTTTTTCCATCTTACGTGATGATTGTTTTTCCGAGAGAAAACAAAACGGGACAGGGGGGTGTCATTTCTTTCGTTTCACGCCTTTTGCTCTTAAACCTTAAACTGGCGCTGATCTGGCTATTTTTGCCCCTCTTTTTTTTTTTTTCCCCTCCTACCTCTTCTCTTCGCCCTTCCCATTCACGTTTACCTTATCGTTCCCCATCCCGTTGATTCCGATACGAAGCAATTGGGTGTTGGGTGAAAAACAACAATGCATTTATATTACTTGCGTAGGAGCTTTTTATTATCATTATCATTTTTCTCTCTCTCCTCTCTCGTTTGATTTAGTAGCAAGAAACGGCGTTTTGAAAGGGAGGCGGTTCGGTTCGGCAAGTATTGGAATGGTTTTTTTTTTTTTTGTTTGTTTGTTTTGCTCTCCTTTTCCCATCTCTATGCAGTTTCTCTTTTTTTCACCTTTGGCCTTTTTCGATTCATTTTCCTCTTGTTTGTACCTCGCTCACCGGTACTTCGCTTTACTTCGTGATTTGTGTATGTGTATTGATTGCTCTTGGACCAGATTTTCAGCGCAGCAAATTCAAAATTACGAATTTTCTTGGTTATTTTGCGGTGCAGGGTGTGCTCAAGTTAATGAGTGTTTGCCGGGGGATGGGGAGGAGCGAAATATTTGCTGGCTCGAGCTCACGCGTTTTGTATACTTTCCACGTTACAGACGTAATGATGCACACGATACACGATGCACTATCCCCACAGTATGATATGACACTCACTCTACGAGTACCATCACCATCCAAGTTGGCCAACCCTGACAAAACCTGACGTTCCAGGCCAACATGTTCAAAAAGAACCCTTACCCACCAACACCAACCCAAGAATGACCCAAGGGGCCTTAACGGTATGATACCTCGATCACGCGGATCCCCCACATTTCCTCCACCACCACCACCGACGACGATGACCGACAACAACTCGTCCCGCACAACCCAGCCCCAGTTCCAGCCATTCACGCACACACAACGCTGGTATCATAACTCAAATGAAAAGAAAAAGAAAAAAATTGAGAAAAGAAAGCATGACACCAAGAGTCGTAATCCCTCTTTTTTGGAGGGGGGGGGAAAAAAAAAAATCCACAACCAGGTATGATATCGGAACGGATAGATCTCGGCTGTAGGGCTGTATCTAGGGTGACATTGCGTTATATCCAGCTTAAGTTAACCGTGCTGTCCGAGCACAAGTATTAGACTATAGCAATTGACGATTGCCTCGGGAAGAGGGTTTTTTTGTTTTTTTTCGGGAGTGGAAGCTTAGACTACGGGCGATGGCTATCATACGAGTAGAAGTTGTGCAATGATGTAATAACCGGATTTCCTCCCTTCCTTCCCCCTTTAACCCATATGTTTTCGTGTTGCGCGGTATGACACGATACAAAGTATTATATATAAGCGGCAGTAGCATAGCACAGTATGATACAGTATTCCGTACATTACACCACAACCGCAACCGAAAACAACAGGACGAATCAACTCGGGATAGCCCTGTAGACTACTGTGCAGTACTCGTCGAGTAAAGGAAAACAAGTCCTTAGAATCGACTATGGCACTGTACCGGTCACAGTTATCATACGAGTAAAAAAAAAAGAACTGCAATAATGAGTGCCGGTTAACCGTAACAACCCGCCAAGCCCCCCCCACACACACTTCCGAACCTCAACCGACTAAATTAACTGATTTACTGACCCATCGACTGACTGACTAAACACTTCTTGTCTTGGAAAACCTGCGCTCAAATCATTGACCACGAACCACATCACCCTTCTAAAAGTTACCCCTCCCCATCCACACGGCAAAAATCAATCACTCGAAGTTGACGTTGGAACATCAAACATGTGTGTGTGTGGAGGGGGCGGTGGGGGGGCTTTCACATGGTGACTGCTACTATACTTCGTCCGTTCGTTCGTTCGTTCGTGCGGTGTCATCCGTATTCTACTCTCGCTGGTCAGGGTATAGAGTTCCTCCCCCCCCCCAGGGGCGGCGGTGGGTGCGCGCAATTCATTTTCGCGCAGCACCGTACGAGCAAGTAGAGCGTTCTATGGAGCGGCACGATGTTCACCGATGGCGACTTTACCTCAACCCATATCACCATGTGGGGGATTGGGGTCGCTTGGTTTTTTTTTTTTTTTTTTTTTCGAAAAAAAAAAAAAACCCCCCCTTCTCGCTCTCTCCCCCTTTCCCTTTTAATGCCGGGTAGGGACAAGGCTAGATAGATATAGTAGACTACAGTACAGAAGAGAAGGGAAGTCACCATTCCCATTCCGAGTACTGACCACTGACGGGAGGAGACACCCAATACACGGTTACCCGTCCCAACCGACCAATTCGCGAGGGACATAAAATAGTCTGATTAATGATACAAGGTAATAAGGTAACTATGAGCACCGAATAACGCTTCAACTCCCATATCCGTACCCTCTCCCCCCCCCGCAAGCTTGCCGCTGCGCCAATACCATATCTAGTTTTTAAAATATGTCAGCCAGGGGTATTGTTAGGCCTGTAATACTCAAATGCAGATATAATCCCGAAGAAAGAAAAAGTCCAAACATGCATACGCAAACGAATCGCTCCCACAATCCTCCTCACCCATTCCCATAACCCCCAAACAAAGAGACCGGCCACGGGGAGAGAAGTGAAGATATACGATTATCCAACCCACAGAATGCATACCCTAGCACCTGTAACATAGGGGGGGAAAAAAAATCAAATATGTACAAAGAAGCCAAATTTTCTCAACAACAGATTACAATGCATAGGACGAGGAAAAGTGATGTATTTTTGGGCAATTTAAACCGTTTATGGACCGCAAGCTGATTGACGGATATTGTCCGTAGAATTGACCCGGGGGTCTTCTTCTTCCATCTCGGAGGTTCCCCCCAGGCTCTCAATATCCCTGCGCACTTCGGTGCGCGTCACTTCGGTGTGCGTCAGGATTCCATCAAGAGGTATCGATTTATCGTGATGGCACGCGCCCTTTGGTACCGCATGTATGCTTGTAACGACCTCGCCAGCCCCCCCACCACCAACCCGACCCTTGTGGTCTCTGCTAAGGCCACCGAAATTAGATCCGCGGCTAATTGAATAAGGATCGCCTCTGCATCCAATTGTGCGGTCACACCCCTCGCAGCGAGTCTTCCCATCGGTGGAGATATCATCATCTTGGTGGGTAACCCAATGCAGGACAAGAACAGAAAACAGAACTGTAATCCATAGTGTCAGTCGTGCAAGATGTCAAGACGCCAAAGCCAAGCCAGGATGAAATTATAACATACTATCGGAATTGCAAACCGCAAAACAGATCCATCCGGGCTCTTTTCCCCTCAAAATAATGAGAGAAATCAAGTTACTTCATCACCAATCAGCACTCTCCTGAAGCAATATGAACCCATGCCATTTCTAAATTTAACATACCCAAGAGTAGAAACCAATGTTGCGCAACTTCCAATAAAAGTCCGAAGGGCGACCCGATGAAGACGGCTCTGTTTGGACTTGGCCCCGTTTTGAAAACTCCAGAGACCTGATCCAAATTGTTAGCAAACTGGGACCAGATTCTGCTGAATGCTCGACTCACCATGAAGAGGTTTCAGGAACAGAAAGGTGAGATAGACCTGAATTCGACCCCGTTAGCGCGAAGCCACCCGACACCTTACACGATGGCCACATACATTAATTACGAAATCAAAAATAAGTAGCGGAAGGTTGGCAGGAAGCTTCAACCCAATCTTACACTGCCCGTTCTCCATCTCGGCGTTGCGACTGCAGGGAAAGCTATTAGACGGCGCAACAGGGAAAGACCAACAGCAGAAACGTACTAAACGAAAGTTAAGGTGATGACCACGCAGTAGGGCAAAAGCATGCCGAGAGTATTGAATAGGAAGAGCTTGTCCTTGAACCTCGAATTGCGATTGCCACGAACGATGAAAACCTGAAGCACCATTAGTAATTGATATACAAATGCAAGACAAAACGAGGCCCACCTTTTCGACAAGGAAAAAGTACATTAGAACCTTCGAGCTGAGATAGCAAACTAGGCAGAGCAATATTCCCGCATCGCATGCTCTAAGACTGCTGTTGAGACCGAAACTCGCTTGTAAAATTGTACTCGAAAGCACAAACATCCAACTGTCGGTGAAAACAGCGAGAATCACTGGAAGAAAAAAGGTAAAAAAAGGTAATTAGCGACTAATAATAAAGAGTAGCAACTCTACCAAAAACAGCGAACTTACACCAGCGCGCTAACGGCAACGTTGACAAGTCACGAACTCCTACAAGTCGTCGTGCCAAACAGAAACTGACGACGGTAATAGCAATCATGGCAAGAGATATACTGGACACGAAGGAACCCTCCGACTGCCTCCTCTGAGCACTAGGACTTTCCTCAACTGGGTCTCTCCTCATAACCGAGGCCATCACGGGATAGATGGCATCCATGGTTACTGCTCCCTCGATGGCTACAGGTTGCACTGGAGGAGTAATGTTAGGATGATGAGTCGATCAACGAGCCCCCCAGAGTTGAGCAGCCGAGAGGATGGAGGATGGAGGTGGGAGGTGGAGGTGGAGGTGGGGTCAGACGAATTGTTTGTGTTAAGTATGGAGCAGCAGGAGGGAGAAATGGGGGAAAAGGGCAACCAGGAGGGAGGATGCAGAGAGGCTTATAGGTAAGGAGGAAGTAGGGATAGGACGTGTGTGGGACACAAAGGCTAGCTCCCGCAGGAGAAGTGAACAAGAAGGGAAAAGAAAAGAAAGAGGGAAAAAGTAAAGATTGTGAGAGAAGGAGGAGGGGGGGGAGAGGGGAAGGATACGATTGGCAATTATCGATTGGCGAAGGACGGCAGATCTTATGAAAGTTGGGAATTCCTGCCTTCTCCTCCTTCCTATTTTGCGGGTTTGATGCTGGGCGGTTGATGGCAAAGTACTCGAGTGCAGTACTCGTACTATGGGAGTATTACTGATATCAGGTGCTACTCGTACAAGTACGGTACTCGAGTACAATATAATATTCAAAGTATCCACTGCAGTATGAAGTATGGTATGGGTGCAAATGGTTAGTTATGAATGGATGAATGAACGAATGAATGAACGAATGAATGAATGGGTGAGTGAATCAACGAGTTAATCGCAAAGAAACCGAAAGCCCTATTGGAATATTAAATATACCGGTATGGCGTCCCAAAAGGGTTATTGTTGTAATTACCCGTATCTCTGTCCCGAATCCCCTCGCGCACTGGCCTGGAGCTGCTCAGTGTACTGCAATCTTGCCTCTCTCCTTCCTCCTGTCTCCAAAAGGCCCACTTTGCCGTGATACTGATGTGATATTATTGCGATGACACCTAGCCCAACCATTCTTGAGCGGGTGGAGAAAGCAAAAAAGAAAAAGAAAAAGAAAAAGAATGAAGCTCGCATCCTGTAGGCAAAACAGATCCAACTCAGCCAACAACCCCATCCGCACTCTGTCCTGCAGCAAAGCTCATCAATTTTCCTTTCTTTTCCCACTTTCTTTTTTTACTCTCGCCTCCATCTTTTTTCCCCTTGCTTTTTGTTCCCCTCCTTCCCCAACCATATCTGAAATCTCTCCCATTTGGATGGGCAAAAGGGGGAGAGGGGCAAGGAAAAAAAAAAGAAAGGGAATGGGGAAGGATGCAAATCACGCTGAACTTTCATACATCCCCAAGTATTTTGCCTCGAGCAGAACTCGCCCAAACTGCATCACCGATTGGCAGATAGGGCGGACGCAGATAGAGTGCGGGAAACTAAAGATGTCATCACTGCACTTTCCTGGGATGATCAGGGAGGACAGCTGGTGTGTGTTGTTGTTTGCAGGTGCGAATTCCGCACACATTTTGAATATGTACGAGTACCGTACTGTACAGCATGACACTTGAGTACTCGAGTATGATACTCGAGTAGGGGAGTACGATCAAGGACAAACCCTAAATGGAGAGAGGCATTAGAATGCAAGGGATTGCTGCCCGTATCGACACTTATGCTGAACCAGGTTTTTAGTCTAACAGATCCAGTAAGTCTGATAGAGAGCCCTTTTTTAGTGGGGGTTACCCTGGGATATTTGTTACCATTTGGTATCACAAAGGGTAAAGTGTGAGAGTGGGGGAAGGGAAAAGGACTCGGTGGTTTAGGAAAGCTCCGCATAGGAGCCCGTATTCCTAGGCCGATCGCCCCTACGAAAACAAGGTTTTGGATGCAGAACAAACCGCTTGCCCAGTATTGGGTGCGAAGAACCTGCGATTACTCGAGTATGACACCCTCCTGCCTCCTTTGCTGAACTAGTATGATACCTTACTGGTACCTATTTGTACTGTGCGCTCTTCTCAGCACAAGAACTGTATGATACTAGCACACAAGTAGTCAGCAAGTACAATACCCGCCCCCATTCTGCAAACGTCAATGTTTGCTACGATACCGGTACTCTCGGGTGCCTATTCTGCCTGGCTTCCCCTTGTTGCTTGCTTGCTTGCTTGCTTGCTTGGGTTCCCCAACCTTTTCTTCGCTGTGCTCACTCCTCCCTTCCCGTTCCCACTCAGCCTTCCCCAGCCCACCCTCACCCGACACCAAGGTCACAATATCTGCTCGTACAAATCACTATTCTTTATTCCCTTCCTACCCTCTCATTCACTCCCCTACCCGAGATCCTTCCCTGATTTTCAGCTCTATTGTATCATGCTCGAGTACTCGAGTACTGGTTGGTACTCCTACACCCCCACAATCCGGGGCTGCCCAAGGAATATACCCGCCGATCAAGCCTTCTTTCAGCCAGCACTTAGCGAGCCAATCTTCCCATCATTATACCCGCAGGACAAGGATCCTCCTTCTCCCTGACACCATTGGAAAATCAATACTCGAGTACGGTATCCGCGTATGATGATATCCCTGTCCTCTACGGAAACACCTTAGTTTAGGCATCATAAATCGTCGGGTTTGACAACATCTGCTGCACCCAAGCACAACATTTATTGCATCTCCCCCATCCAATCCATGAACACCGATTTTTTCGATCCCAGTCGCCATACCAAACATTCGGTCCAATCATAAATCATCATCTCTTGTTCAACAATGATCCGGGGATCCGTGACAGCTTGTTTTGCTTCTTTTTTCACAATTTTCCTTTTTCCCCCTTCCTTCTCGCCCCTCACCTTGAGTAGCTTGCGCGAGGGCCAGCAAGACTAAAACATGCTCTCCCGTCCTTGATAGCAAACCGAAAACCAGCCCCCGGTCATACGAGCACCCATCCATCATCTATCTATCTATCTACGAGTACTCGAGTACCGTACCGTACTCGACAACTATCAAATGCTGCAGCTCTCTCGCACCGGGGGGGGGGGGAGAACAGGAATTCCCTTTCAGGCAGTGAGACCTGCGCACGCTTTTTTAGACTGGATCAGTTTTTTTTTTTTTTTTTTTTTTTTTACCATCAAAGATATCTGTCGGCTCTAGTGCGGATGTTGAATCCCCCAGGAAACAAAGATTGACATGACCTGAGCTGTTGCCACGCATAACATTGGGCTATAAAACTGTACAGTATCTATATATGGGTGTTCATTCCTTTTTATCATCACCCCAGCTAAATCGGCGACCTGTCAGCTGCAGTTTAAGCTTATCACTCGCTCGTACAGTGTGATAGCGATGATCTTTGCCCTTTCTTCCTACTGACTGATTTGTTTATTGATGACTAGTCAACCGGCCACAACTACCGTACTCGTATCTCATCAGCTGTCCTGTCAACCATGAGGATTCTCAGGCAAAGCAGAATTACTACGGTAGGGGGTGCAAGTATGGAGGCGGGTAAGTGATGGGATAGACAGTATTTTTCGAGTCCGGGCGCTCAGTACCGTCAGAGGTAAAAAAAAAACTTAATTTGGCAGGCAGGAATGGTGCCGGGGGGAGGAGTATGAAGCTTTGACATGTTGAACCCCTGTCCATCCCATCACTAACCTCCATACCCGAGTTATCAGTTACAGTACTGTACGTGTAGTTAGATCTCAGTACTCGAGTAAGATTAAAAGCCCCTCCACCGTACCTCTCTCAACAGGGAGCGACGGCCGTTGCTCGTCCCAGGCAGGATGTATCCGAAAATACGAGTGTTGAGTTTGCACTCGAATAGCGGTAATGGGCGCTCAGATACGCACGGACACTTTGACATAGCGGTACATTTTGCGAATCCCCCCGTGCCGGGATACATCTTGCCTTGGGACGAGCACGGTACCGGTACCGGTACTCAAAGTGGGTTCAAACAAGGCGGTACCGTTTCTGTCGCTTGAGACTCGCAATTACTATGCCGGCAGTTGTCGGTTGTCAGAAGCTACCGTAGAATAGTAATGTACGAGTACTCGTACAGTAGGCTTTATCTTGCCTCTTACTAAATGGCGGGAGATCTAAGGCTTCCCGATTACCCCATTAATGCCAAGATTACCAGCTCAGAAAGATACACAGGATTCATACAGTTTATCTTATCATATGACCCTGAGGAGCGAAAAGGGCTGATACGGCACTTTATGTGTCCACCGCAGCTACTGTATGATACAAGTATCATACTGTACTCGACCACTCCACCCCAGTTCACTCCACCGGCAATGGCCCTTTTCTCGAGCAGGGAGAGAGAGAGAGAGAGAGAATTACCATATAATAATGTTCTGGCCGGGACCCATGGTTCCCGACCTTGAAAAAATGCCGGAAGGGGCAAAGGCGACCCTGCTGCAGTCGGGAAGAGCATGCTCGAAATAGAGATGATTCCTCCAACGAACGAGCGAGCGGGCAAAAGAGCAACCAGCCCCAAATCCTGAATCCAATGGACAGACAGAAAGAAATCTAGATCCCGGGAAGCTGCTACTCGACCATACTCGAGTAGTCTACCTCCCGTACTTCCCTAAAATTTACGACAAAGCCCACACACACACAACATTCGGCGTCCGCCACACATCACAATTTTCAGGGAGGGAAACGGATGGGCTCTCCTCCAGAAAAGGCTTTTTGAGCCGGGGTTGCCCCGGGTGCTGCGGTACTAGCCGAGTTCAAAAGCACCGTATCCGGAAATCATGTTACAGGATCACAACAACCACTCGCAAATTTGCCTTGCGGTTTTCAGAGGCTTGGCAGCACGATTTTCCAGATAACTTGTTGAAATCGGCTAGCACCGCACCGTAGAAACCCGGAAATCTCTACAAATCAAATGCACAATAGGCTTAGCGGGGTATGTTGACAAAATAACAAATGCCAATATCGGTTAATGAGAATGCTCGAGTACTCGTACGGTATTCGAGTGCCCCGTCTGGAAAACACAAACTATCGTACGGTACCAATACTACGGTACAAGCACTCGTACTTGTAGTACATATTCCCTCTCACCGTGTTTTGTCTCTGATCGGGGAGATCCGAGGCCGATGGGCGATAGTGGATTTAACGAGCCTTCACGGGATAGTGCTCGAAGCTGCGCATTTTTTCCCGGCATAACCAGCAGCCAGTGACCGCTACCGTACTCGAGCATTACCGTATACTCGAGTACTCGTACAGGTCGCGGGAAGCGCTCTTCCGACCAGCCCTTATCACTTCACTCGAACACACTGTGTTGACACGGGATGCATGGTGAGGTAGGGGTGGTGGTGGCAGGGGGGCTGCGGGGCGGGAGCATAATTTCTTTTTTTCAAATTTTTTTTTCTCTCCGTGTTTGCCGTGCAGGCATCCCGTTTGCTTTTCCCCCCTGGCGTCCGCCAGAGTCCCTTAATAAGATGGTGGAAGGGGGGGGGATGTGGGATACCAGACTCAAAGTGACAACCCTCACGGGCAGTCACTCGCGAACTCTCCTCCCCTTTCTTCTCACGTCGGACCAGCAGGATTCCCCTAACAAGTTGGTGCAGACGAGCGTTCAAGAGATGGCTTGCGAGATTTTTAGCCTTCAATCCTGCACTTGGTTCCTCTACTCGAACGCTGTGGGTGGTTGGTTGTTGAGGTCTTGACATCTCTGTTCTGTAGGCAAGTTCGCGGTCGGCCTTTTTTTTGTGGGGGAGACTCGGCTGACCCCTTACTCCAGGAAGCTGTATGATAGTGTACGAGTACTCGTACAGTACAGTACTCAAGTATGTTTGGGTTCGGTCGTTCCAATCCGTGATATCAGATACAGTAGGGTAGTGAGGGAGCCCCTTTAACAACCGTCCAAAAGCCGCCTTAACGTTATCGCACCTTGTCAGTACGAGTACTCGAGTACAGTACCGGTACAGCCTTAACCATACAAGTACTGGGTCGGTGACGAACAGGGGTATTCCGTGGCCAAAAGAGGAAATCATTGGGGGGTGGGGTAGGGTAACGGGGGGTTACTCGAGTACTTGCTGCTGATCCTTGTTCGTCACAGGTCCAGCTTCGTCGTGGGTACGGGTGGAGGCTTTACCGGTACTCGAGCACTCGAATTATCATCTGATATAAATCCGTGGACCAATTAACCTACTCGAGTGCATACCCGTTCTCGGCGATTTACCCAGACCTTTTTTTTTTTTTTTTCTTTTTTTTCGGTTAACCGCCTGGGCGGCCCTATCTTCCGGTGTTCTGTCCATTCGTTCGTGTGCCGAATTTCACGGAATTTTAGCTCGAAAGCTAGGGGAATACCGGTACTGTACAGTACTCGTACTGTACTCGAGTACTCGACTTGAAGGGGTATGGCTGAGGTCTTCTAATGGTAGCTCAGCCAATAAACGTTTCCGACCCGAGGGTCTGCGGAGATTTTACTCGAATAGGTGGCGTTAAATATCCTTTTAGTACGAGTACTAGTACTAGTACAGTAGAAGGCTGTCTGAACCATGGTCCCGCCAATACAAATAAAGGGATGACGATTATTGATGTAGTCCCGATAGTCTGCCGGTGCTCTCAACCGGATTACCGGTTGAGAGTAGTCTTGCTGCTTGTACGAGTACTCGTACGATCGTACTGTGGTGGCTATGGTGCAAGTGCAGTGCGATATCGCGATTTGCGAAAATCTTCACACGTCTTGAATGCTCTCAAGCGGTATGATACTGGAACGCCAACCTGTTGGCTGTCCTAGCAAAACCAGGTCTAGAGTGATCTTGATTGTCCTGGTGTTGGCCAAAGGGCGCCCTTATTTTCTTTTTGACATGTTTCGAGGTGTGATATCTTGGGGTGCGGTTTTTCTTTGTAGCCAGCCAGCCAGCTTACCTGCCCGTGAACCGATTGTGAGATGGGTGAATACTCGTACTTGTACAGTACTCGTACAGTGCAATGCCATGGTACTGTAACCATCACCCGTAGTAGAAATACACGAGAAGCGTCTGCATCGGCATATGAAACATGACGGTGATGCACGAAATGGGGTACTTGTGCAAGTACTCGTACAACACAAAGTAAGAAAAAGAACATATCCCAAAATCCGAGTTCCGGAATCGGAAGCTTGAAGAGGGAGGAGGGAAAAAACAAATATTCGGATGAACAACTCTGTTCACGAAGTGTAACGGCGCTGTGATAGCACCAAGTACGACATTCGTTCTCCTGCCCGTTCGATGTACGAGTACAGTACTCGTAGTGATTCGTTCTTCAAGCCAATTGTTATCGATATCGAAAGGGTCCGTCAATGCTGGGTTTTTCCCTCGAGCGCAAATTTCCCACGGCTCACTTTCCTTCTTCCGGCTCTGAACTTTACCTCTCTCGGTTAGAGAGCCAACCTGAAAAAAAAAAAAACCCTGGCGTGGCGTCGAGAGAGGGAAAAAAAAAAAAAAAAAAGAAAGATGAGAAATCGTTGAAGAACCGAACGACCTTTTCGAAATCGGTAATACTGTTATAATAATAATAATAATAATAATAATAATAATATTATAACAATTTTTATATCATTCATCCTGGTCTTTTGTGGACCCCATCCAGGTACAGGCTTGGCTTCATTCCGAGTGATACTTCATGTGATGCAGAGGCCTGAGCCCCTTTTACTCGAGTAGAGTGCTCGTGTACAGTACCGTACTAGTACGAGTATGGTAGGTATGATAATATGATATGTTTGGCTGACTGGTGCAACGTCAAGATGCGGTCAGTCTCCGCCTCACGAGCAACCACTAGCCAACCACAATTTCAATCTACTCGAGTACTCAGTAACTTACGGCTTCGCACAATGGGGGAAGATGCGGATAATAGAGCCCTTCGAGAAGAGATCGCAGGCTTGGAATCCCGGCTTCGGGCAGCGAGAGCCAAACTACCCTCGAAAACAGAAACTCGATCCCATGGTAAAGCTACAGTCCCGTTATCCGTTTTATCCATCCATTCCTGCAGTAAGCCTCAGCAGGTGATTGAACAAGGAAAAAAAAAAAATCTCTAACAAACCTTTTCACAAAAGAACTTTGCGCAACGGTGGCGACCCCAGAAACGCACTTTCTCCTGTTACTCTCCGATTCCGCTCTCCCCCTCGGCTCATTCGCCTTTTCCGGTGGCCTGGAATCCTACACTGCCCACCGCCCATCAACCTCCACGCCCAGGGAAACCACTGAACGATTCCTGAGGCTCTCCGTGAGCTCGCTATCACGCGCCGCACTCCCCTTCGTCCTGGAAGCGCACAGGGAGCCAGAGGCAGCCCTAACGCTGGACGACGTCTTCGATGCCTCGACAATCTGCACCGTGGCCCGACGTGCTAGCGTAAGTCAAGGCCGGGCCTTGCTCACAGTGCACGAGAAGTCCTTCTCTTCATCGCTACCCCCATCGCCAGAGCTGGAGGCCTACCGCCGAGCCCTCCGCGCGGAGAACGTGCGGGATAGAGCAAGTGGGCACTTCCCCGTCGTCTACGGCCTTCTATGTAACCTCGCTGGTATAAGTCTGGAGGGAACTGGCTACCTGTTTCTGCTGGGCCACGTCAAAGCCGTGTTGTCCGCTGCTGTTCGTCAGAGCCTTATAGGGCCTTACCATATGCAAGCGCTGCTTGCTGCGGAGAGTACGCGTAGGATCATGGATGATGCGTTGACTGTTGCGAAGGGGATCGCGGTGGAGGATGCGGGCCAGTCGGTTCCGACCTTGGATTTGTATCAGGGGAGGCACGAATTACTTTATTCAAGGGTTTTTAACTCTTAGAGCGAAGGCGAAGAGATAGGCGGGCTGAGGGTTGAGGCTTGCGGTTGAGGATGCTTTCCGGTGGGTTAGATATCGGGAGAGGCTACAAGTTTGTTTAACGTTGGATAAAATATGTGTCCTAGATCTCTCGTTTACCCATTGATCAGCGCCTTTCTTTTTCGGCGAACAGCGTCATCGTGGCTCACAAGGGACGTGAGCCCGAGGTGCCATGAAATAGCTAGACTAGCTGCTGGTTGATCTGGACTTAGCTTAGTTCAATATATTCCTCATCTCCTGATACATATCGATCTGGACTTGGCATGCCCGGCAGTGGATTCTGCTGTCAGACTGCCAAAGGGGATAAGCGATAGAGGGGGACTTCCCCGGCGGCATTCTGGGAGAAGAGACGGAGTCCCACCAACCCCACCACCATTCGAGAGGACGACCAACCAAGCAACGCATCGGTATCGCTTACCGGTAGTCTACCACTTCATCCAAGGGATGATAAAGTCTCAGTTTGAAACTCTAGTGATTTATTACCAAGGAAGGGTATATATACCTTCCATATCCTGTTACTATCATGATCACGGGCAAGAACATTTGGATACAGTACTCGTACGGTACATGACGGACTAAACATTCCGGTACACTAAAAATATAGTGGCGGGTGTGATATCAGATTTGGTGGGGGTTGTTCGCTGCACCCCTTCCTGTTCGTCCCCCCTCCTACATGTTAAGGGATACGGTAGCCATGGATACCGTTGCCGGGACTGCACACTGTATGAACGTTTCCTGTTCGCATGTCATTCTCGATGTGCGCGCGGTTCGGTAGTCTAGAACCCACCCCCAGCTTTCGACGGAGGGGCCCCGGATTTTTTCTGGTTGACCTCCTACCTCTTGGGGTCACTGGGTTTGGAGACGTGGTGCCCAATACAGTGCGAAGGCAATGAATCCAGGTATTTTAATCCTCTGGCTCGCAATTGAGCGCGGAAACTGGACCAGCATGTCAAACGACTTACTCTTCCTTCGGACGACGACAAGGGTCCATCTCCACCGCTTAGACTGTATTTCTCACTATATATCCCGTCTTGCTATTGTGTTGATCAGCAGCTGCACTATGATTATAATAGCGGAGAAATGTAGGTTGCCTTCCTCACTAAGTCACTTAACCCGATGCCTAAGGGCCTTGTCCTGCAGAGGTGATTATCGAACTACCGACTGAGTAAGTTTCATGGTGGTACGGGTACCTGTAGAGTTAAAATTTAAGCTGGTGTTTTTCTTTTCTTTTCTTTTTTTTTTCTCCCATTGTTTTTGCTTGTCGCTGGTTCTGTTCTCTGATACTGTGCTACAGTAGTATCATAGTAAAGAGTACTGTACTCGTGCGGAGTACGGTGCTGTACGGAAGAATGGTAATACTGAAGAAAAAAAAAAAAAAAAAAAGCTCGCATTGTGTCGGTCGGTGGAAATGCAGTTGCTCATTTTCTTATACTTTTTCTTCTTCTTCCTCCCTCCCTATCGGTAGTTACAGTAGTGTGAACAGATTATAAAAGTGTTTTGATGATTAGATCTGGTTATCGTTTCTGATATTGCGCTACCGCCACCGTACCGTACATTACTGTACGAGTACTCGTTGCAGCCGGGTGGGTACAGTACTACGATAGTACAGTAGGCAATGTCGCCCACCCATCACCCATTGGCCAATCACGCAAGACAGTAAATTAGTCCACAAGTACTCGTACCCGTATCATACTCATAGCTGCCTGGCTACCTAGCAGATAGTCTAAGCCAGAGTCACCCTTCCTCCGCAAGGCACCACTTCAACTCAGCCGCGCGAGTACGAGTACAGTACCGTACACTTAATTTACCGTACCCTATAATTCTTAACGGTCAAAACTCCCACAAGTTTTAGCGTTGACATCCAACTATGATGGTCTAACCCAAACCATGTACAGTATCCATATAAAACAGGACAATACTGGAGCACAGTACAGTACCGTTACAGAAACGACAAATTGGATCGATAAAGAAAAGAATCAAGGGGTGGTGGATACCTAAGAGTCTAGTCATGGAATATCAATCGGTCTGGACTTATCTATAGTGTTGAAACATGCTTCTGATACTACTATGGTATCACGCTGCGATAGACTTTTTCCTTTACATCAAACTCTATCACTAGTCTACCCCTAATAATACCCCCTTGCTTCTTTCTCCTTTTTCTTTTTCTTTCCTTTGTTATTGTTATTGTTCACTCGACCTTTTGTGTCTCGCTCTCAGCAGTAGATAGTTAGGGTCTTTTGCTCTTCCTGTTGAGATAGTCAAGTGTTCGAGTCTCTCAAGCAATCATTCACTTCGCCATATTGTCAAAGAACCTTTCGCAGATTGGGATGAGCTGATCTTTTACTTGTTCTTGTTTCGCGGGGGGGGGGGGGGGGGGTATCATACCGTACTGACGAAGGGTGACATAACTTACCCACCTACAGGTGTGGTTTTACTTACCTGGCCAAGTGAAAAACTTTTCCTTTTCTACATTATCGTAGTAGGTATAGTACATACAGCCCACGCAAAAGGAATCGTAAATCCTAACGAATTGTGCGATAGCTCACGAGGGGGAGTCTCCTCACGTGCGGGGGGTATCGGTGATGAAAGGAAGGTTTGAAAGGGGGGAAAGGGGGGGGCTTTTGGATTCCGTAGGGTGCCGGGCTATTGCTCGCTCTCTCTCTCCCCCTCTCCGAAATTCAGAGTTTGCATATAATTTAGATAGTATAATATATCGTAGTGTGGATTCGGGTTTTGGCTGGGATCTCTCCTCGGCCTGTAGGTGTGCGGAACTGATGTTCGGGGGCGAGGGAGGGACTTCTTGCCAAAGCATTTTACCAGAAGAAGCGATAATGTGGGCCATTAATATTCGAAGGCCACCCGCCATTCCCAAATTATTATTATTATTATCGTTGTTATTATTTAAAAAAAAAAAAAAAAAGGTCCGAAAAATGGGGTGATAAGCCATGGAGAAATGGAGACTACAGGGCCAGCTCCACTTCGGTGCACACGTGCACAAGTCAAATATAGCTTGTATCGCCACGTCGTCGTCGTTATTACTGGGTTTCCGTGTTCCATTTTCAAAAAGAATATTGGTGTGTAATTTGGGTGGAATATACTACCACTGTATGATACTTGTGCACTGGATTCGGGGAAATTGGCTCTAGCATTGCATGCAATAGCTATACTTGTGGGGCCTCTCCGTCCTTAGAACGTATATGTAGAGTCCCTTTCTCATCTAGGAATGTTTCTTTGAAGTCGCCGTCCTATCATAGGCACAAGAATGCCAAACTTATGTTCAAATGTTTATATCCTACCGCCCCACTGCTCGAATGCCCCGCAGCAATATTAACAAATGAGAGAAAGAGCATAGTATTGCCCTGTTAATGGACATTATACATCACACCCCATCCAGTTCCTCCACCACCTCCCCCACCAACTCTGCAATCCCCCTACCATCTTCCGTCCTCTCACTCGCTATGGCAAGTAACCTCTCGCAGACTTCCTTGACCTTCTGCACGTCATCCTTTAGCCGTCTTCTCGCTGCCTTGTGCGTCTTGACCAAGCACGCACTAGCTAGGCGGGCTATTGCAGCGTCAAGTTCCAGATGCATGACTGAGTCTCCTCTGATATTGACTGCCGCAAGGACATCCTTGACCCATACTTCGTTGGCCTTATCTTCCAGTATTGCTACCTGGGTTAGGACTCTCGCTTCATCAAATGCTATTCGGAGGTCGTCTTCTCCGGCACCCCTGTTTACGTATATTGCCTTCAGGTCAGCCCAGATTAGGTCGATGCCTTGATACTGTAGAAATTGTTCGCGGCCGTTGTCCTCTTCTACTGTCCCTTCGAGGCTGGATAGGATCCAGAATCTGTGGTCTACGCCGTCTTCTTTCCCCTTTTTCCATAAGCCCAAGAAGAGGTCTGTTAGGCCTCCGGATTCTTTTCTTAGGCTTTCATCTTCTTTCAGCCAGAGGGATAGCGCCCTGACAGCTGCAATCACCAATGGGTCGCGCGCAATTCCACCTTCGAGCTTGGTTTCCCAGGTTATACTCAATGGGGTGTCTTTTTCGAAGCCAGGTTCGAAGCCGGCGGCGCCAGCGTACCCAGCATCCCAACGATCCCGCAAGAACTCCAGGGTAAGTCCGAAAGTCTCCCCGATATCCGCTTTCAGCTTTAGCAGTAAATCTGGCGTGATTGGTATATCATCAAAGTCCTCGACCATTAGCAGGTATCCCAAGAATGCCGCCAGTACATCAAAATCAGAAGCCAATCTGTGAGCAGTACTCCCATATGAAGGAGTAGCGAGCTGTTCGAGTAGTGTTGGAAACGTAGCACGAAGATCAATGAGAACCAGCTGCATAAAAAAGTACACGAATGGTTTTTCCTCGTTGATCGGTGCTTTGCCTAGCGCCTTTGGCCCGAAGAGGAGGGACGGCGGGTATTTGTGCAGAAGACTAGCCGCTATTTTAATGCAGTGTGATCGCTCGTGCGAATTGTGACCGGAAGTTATCACGGCCCTGATGGCTGTATATGCGGATCTCACCCAATTGGTGTCTGGTGGGAGGAGCTATAATGGAGGGTTAGAACATGCAGATCATGACATGCATGTGCGTCTCACCTCAGATGGCAATCTGGCTAGTAGGTCACTCAAAAATGAAAGGATTCTTGACCGGGAAGCTTTACCCGTTGCCAACATATCTTCACATATCGACGGTAGAAGCCTCTTCAGTTGATCCTTTACCAACAGCGGTTCAGAGATTGAACGAACAAATGCATATTGTAGGATTTGCATTGCCGTTTCGTGCTCGACTGAACAATTTATCAACGGTGATAAATCCTTTATCCCAGCGATAACCTCCGACCCTTTCCTCCCTGTGGAAAACACCAGTAGGGTCTGCAATATCGTCGCTTGTGTAATTATCGAACTATCACCGCCATCGCTATAATCAGCCACCACCATCACCCTACCAAACCTCGCATCCCACCACCTGCAAATATTCTCATCGCTTCACGGGAACCTACCATTTGGGCAGTATCTCAGCGAGCAAGGGCGCTCTCCCAACCAATGATGCCTCCTCTGCAGAATTGGGTAGTAGGGTAGAAAAGGCGTGTGTTACGTGAACCGCTAACTCAACCATATCCCTCGCTTCCTCTGGAGATTTCTGGCTAGTGGCGCCTGTTTTACGCCGTTCCGCCTTAGCAACCGCTTGTTAACACCTCTCAAAAGCCTAGCACAGACGGGAGTGGTACCTACTAGACTTCAACAGCCGGTCTAGAAACCGGGGATTCAAAGACTTCCAACACCGAGTGAGAACATCGACATCTTGGATGTGAGTTAGGAACGAGGACAACATTGCCAGACCGACAAATCGGCTGGTGTCGTCTTTGCGACGGAGATAGTTGATGCATTGTTCAACTGTTTGGGAGTCGGGTTCTTGTGTTGGATTCACCTGGGGCGTATCTGACATAGGTTGGTTCACCGGGGCCTCCATTGTCGAACCGACTGGAAAAGGCGTGGTGAGCAGTTGTTCTGTTTCAGCTTGCGAGAGAAAAAGGAGGTATCGTGGTCTATGCCTGTCAAAGCCCGAATGGAAAATAACAGTGCTATGAGCCTACGGTATGACGTTACTACACTTAAGCCGGGTAACAAGTTTTATGGCTCGAGTACCGGTAGGGTAATCAAGCAGTGGCAGGTCAAAGCTGTTGGACCCTCATGCGATTGTTAGGAGTAGTATCATGTCATAATCCGAGGAATAAGTTACTCGCCTCGCGCCGTCTCACCGGCAACATGTTACCGGTATCATAGGTCTCCACAGCAAATCTCGCCACGGTCGTGGGTGGGTAAGGGAATATCGTATGATAATATAAAATGGAAGGGACCCGAACCTACCAGGCTGCAGGTCACGTACCCCAATATTCGACGGGTGCCCCTTGAGTCGATAAGATATCATACGACAAAATAATAAGGGGAGGCTATCGTACTTGTGCTGGGTACCAGTAACTAGTATCCCCTCGATCTATGCTCAACCGCGTTGTGAATGTTGAAAGTCTGAGGGAGAAGATATGGATAGTCAGAAATTGCCAGAACTTGGATATGTTCAACTTTAGAGGGTATAGAAGAGAATTATTAAATAGATTTTGTGAGAATGAATCCATTGAGTTTAAATCTCATCATAAATCACATGCATGCTCAGAAATTCCCCCCTATGCACCTACCATCATTGTTATCAGATTGTCATTTTTGGATAAGATGAGATTGCGCACATCTGATTAGACTGTCCAGTACATAGTAGAAGAGTAGAAGATATAGAAGACTCATCAAGTTCTAGAGAGAACACCGTAGGGTCGCCCTTATTGGGTGGAATCTACCATCTTATTAACAGCCTAACACCGTGGACATTTGATAAGTCAGGAGAGTATCATAATATGCACACGGGAAATGCCTTTTGTGTGACAAGGATTTCCCTTGCCAACATGGATTCTGTTTGGGATTGTGGTTTTGGGGAGCGGGGTTTTCAAGTTCTTTTCTTAAGGGTTTTTCTTAAAGGGTTTTCTTGTCTGGAGGTTTCTTAATTTATATCGGGAGTCTATTACACAGCACTGTCATCTCCATAAGGTTCTCATAGCTTGCTCGAGATCCCTGAAGCTACTTACTAGGGAAAGGTCAAGAATGTCCCTACGGAAATCGCTGTTCCCGGGTTAAAAAAGATTTCTCGAAAAGGATTTGCCCCGGTTCTACAATCCAGGGTCGGGGTCCACCGGGAATCATATCTGTGGCACCGCGAAGACTTTGCGGATGGGGTGTGTATCAAAACGCCTTATAAAGTTACTCCACTATTACAAGTACTAGAACCTACTGCACAGAGCACGGTACCCGTGTCTGGGGAGACTACTTGGGCGCAAATTAAGGGTCGGGACACAATAACAACCAAAGATCGTGGTTGCAATACAAGTACAAGAAGATAGCAGTGTATTGTCACTCTGCCCCAATCTTCAACTTGCCCTTGGGTATATGCTACAGCATTTTTCGTTATTGGTATAGCGGGTTTCAAGTACTGTATACGAAAGCCAGTAACCTTTATTTAATTGTGGGGGAAACATGCCAAGGAACCCTAGCCAACAGAAAACTTTATACAATTATACAAGAGACCAGGCTCCAAGAAACTGGCTATCGATCCTCAGCTTTTTTTATTTTTTATGTCAGAGCAAAGATGAACGTCGTGCCGTATCGTAAATCATCCGTAAATCCAACATTTGTTATGAAAGCCCTCTCATGCGCCCAACCGTCAGACCCAGGAAAAAAAGTAAAGAAAAAGCAGAAGAAAGACGGAAGAAGAAAAAGCCACAGGAACTGGGTAAAAATGATAGAAGACTACTGAACATTTGGAGTAGAGCTCCTTGGGAATAATACAACCTATGCGCTTTAAGGCAAAGCAACCCTGAGTTGATTTTTTTGCTCAAGTGTTAAGGTCGAAGGGAAGACAATCTGAAAATAGGTGTTAGTCTAACTTTTGCCGCAGGAGCGGTTTTTCTTACGTTGACCTTGACAATCAAATTGCCGCGTTCATTAGGTGTCTTTGAAAGCACCATGCCCTGGCCAGGGTAGCTCTCCTGCCATGTTGGTGACGTTGGCCCAGCATGTGAGACTTTTACCTGCTTCCCCTCGATTGTCTTGATTTGTCGAGACCATCCCAGAAGAGCATCTTTCAGGGGAATGGAAAGGGTTGTGATAAGATCGTCACCATCTCGAGTGAAGGATTCATGTGGTTTCTGGTGGGATTGGTGTTGGAGCGAATTCATTTTATAATCATGACGAAGATTTTGAGTGATAGACAAACCTCTTCTATAATGAAATGCAGATCCTGTTTGCTTCCATCAATCTCATCACCAACACCCTTGAACTTGAACTTTGAGCCAGCTTTCATGCCTGGTTTAACCGGGATCTTTAGCTCTTTGTCTTCCCGGGAAATCCTGCCATCCTTATCAAAGGTCTTCCTCTTGACACGGAATTTCTTTTCTGTGCCGTTGAAAAGCCTACGTAAACGCCCTATTAGCGAACATGGCAAAATAGCAAACCATCGGAGAAATGAGAAAGGCTAACGTACTCCTCAAGAGTAAGGCTCACACGCCTTTCAGATACGGTTGATTCAGGAGTCTTACTCCTTCCATTAGGCTCCCGAGGGCCCCCACCAAACCTAGTTCCAGGGAAACTGCTAGGTCGGCCACCTCCAAGTGGGCTACCAGTTCCGAGACCTCCAAGTATGTCGAAACCAAGGTCCTCAAATCCGCCCTCCATTCGGGCAAACTTCTCGAAGATACTCTCGGGGTTCCCGAACTGGTGAAAGTTACTTGCTCCATAGTATGGGCGCCCACCTCCACCCATCCCACCCATCCCGCCCATTCCGCCCATACCCGGGAAGCTTCCTCCGGGGAATGTTTCGGATCTCGAGAATGAAGGGTGTGATTGTGATTGTGATTGTGGGGGTGGCGACGAAGGGCCCCCGCGCAACAGATATTCTAAGCCAAACTGATCATATATCTTGCGCTTCTCCGGATCTGAGAGAACTTCATAGGCCTGAGAGATATCTGTACTGTAAAATTAGGAACCGTGCGGTGAAATGTTTGTGTGAAGCGAATATTAAGTAAGTATCCAACTTTACCCTTGAATTTGTCTGCGGCAACCTTGCTATCTTTGTTCTTGTCCGGGTGGTACTGCAATGCGCCTTTCCTTCAAAGCCAGGTTAGTTCCGGTTCAGGTAGGGAAGCTGCAGCAAGAAGCCGAGATATTGGTTGGGTATGGGAGAACAAACTCACCGATAGGCCTTCTTGATTTCTTCCGGTGTGGCGTTAGGCTTGATACCCAGGGTATCGTAAAGCTTCGTTTCCTTAACCATGATGGATATGTGTGGCGAATTTTAAATTTTAACAAACGTTCGAGTTCGTTTGTGAAAAGTTGTTTGGACGAATAGCGAGAGTGAGAGTATACAGGAGAAGTAGAGGAGAGGAGAGGAGAGAAAGGAAAGAAGAGGAGGAGGAAGAGTTTATGCGCAAGGTTATAAGTAATGAAAATTTATTTGAGCGTAACGTGGAGCAGGGATCAAAAAGATGATGTCAAGAATCACGCCTACTGGTGGAGCGGAAATCGTGTGCAGCCCAGTCGTTTGACGGAAGCCTGATACCAGTGATTATGTGAGGTATGACCTTAGGGCAAGGTGATAGATTAGGGTTAGGCTTGGAGGGGGAGATGGATGGAAAGTGGGAGTGGTTAAAGATTCCTTTGGAGAGATGGACGAACTTGAAAATATCTCCGGAGTGGGGGGGGGGAAGGCGAGGAAGAGATGATTGTGGCTGAAGAGGTGGTGAAGTGAGCGGTTGCGTGGTAGTCGATGAGAGTCTCTTGGTAGGAGTGGGGGAGAGGGAAGAGATAGTCTAATGAGAGGATGAAGGTAAGTGCAGTGAAAGATGACTGGTGCTGAATTGTGCGGTTGGACCGCGGATACCCTGCCAGTCGGGAGATGAGTAGACCGTGAGAAAATGGTGGCGTGGTGATGAGTGTACCCTACGGTACTGTATGTATGTATGTGTAAGAATGGCAGCCAAGGAAAGGGTGAGTGGGAGGAGTCTGATCAAATGTGAGGAATCTTAAGGTGAAGTTGGGAAGGTGAGAGATTTTGATAATCACAATAATGGTATCGTACTGCAACACTGTTGGGACTCTCTCTCTTCAGCCAATTCTTACTCCCCCTTGAGTTTCGCTGAGGAGGCCTCACACACCCCCAAATAGAAAGTTGGCCTCGGCCAATGGCATCGCTTTACGTCAGAGTCGTGACTCTAGAAGCTTCGCAACAAAGCCGGAAGATTGTAGGGTTAAAAGCCGTTTCTGGTCACACCAACTTCCGAATGGAAAAGGACAAGCCACGCAGGACAGTGATCGACGTCCAACCATCATTTTATAAACACCCGCCTTAACTTGTTATGATCTACCGGCGCTTGAATTACTGGCAGGCCTAACAAACACTTGTGTCAAGGCTCGAGATACGGAAAGATCGAGGAGGACACTTTGTTCCGCCTGTCATCGCTCACGCGGCATTATTGATTAAAATTGCCTGGGGTTATCCTATGATCCATCCCTCCATTCGTGGGCGAAGGAAGCTCCAATGTGCCCCAAAGCGGTCGCCATAGGCCATCCTTTCGTCTATTCGGTACTGGTGCAAAATTCTGGGTCCCAAATTTGTAAGATAGTAGAAGGCAAGGGTTTAATATATACTGGATCATACGGTTTATATTTGAGCCCCAAAGGTTGTATCGGTACTGCCGGTATGATATCTCTGAAAGGTGCAGAACAATACCACACAGGGTGCACAGTTCTTGCCAGTTAGGGGTTAGGGTTCCTTGCTTGCGGGTTGTTGCTTTCAACTCTTTCCCTCTCCCTCAGGCATTAGCACCTCTCATCTTGGAGCATGAAGCGTAAACTTGACAATGTATCATATTGGTAAAGATATTGGTGCCAAGGCTGTGGCTAGGTGTCACAACCTCCGAACTCTCGCTGGATCGCAACCAGATGTACTCTAGAGTGCCCGGCAGCTCAATATGACATTCAGAGTCTACTGTATAAGGGATAGGCATTTGAGGATCGAAGTCAATTTGAAAACAGACAAGGCGAGTGAACATGAATGCGTAGAAGCCAATGTAGCGACAAAAATGTGTGGAGCAAGTCATGCAATCTGAATATTAGTAAACTTTACAAGCTTTGCAAGCCTCACAGCACAAATAGATGAAAAATCTCCAGTTTAACAAAACAATTGTCTGAAACTCTCACAATACTTGCTGTAGCAGCAACTCTTGGGGTATGCAAAATCACAATGTCCAAACTTAGGAATCTCCAAATATTGAACACTTTAAAAACTCAAATTACCCTTTCCCTAAGATCTCAAGTTAGATCTTTATAAACTATCACTCTTTAGCCTATTTGGCACATTGCAGAAGGTATTTACCTTCTTCTCAATACTTTGTTCTTCATCTGTATTTAACTAGCTACTCTACTACAAATCTGGATCGGTAGACAGCATATTCTATGAGTGCGGCCGATAGATATATCCATCACGTGAATTCTGATGAGAAAAAGCAGCGCAATGCAACCATGAGATGTGTGGAAATGTCGTCATCATCCCACTGTGAATGCCACAAAGTCCGAACCCGTTCAGAAGCTGTCTCTCTCTCTCTTCCTCGTCTTAAAGCATTATTAGCCTCTGTTAATATAGGTCGAACAAGAGATGCTATTGAAATACCTCTTAAACTGCGATGTGTCATACTCATACTGTAACTAGTACGGGTACTCAGTTATTGGTTTTGTTTTATGTTTTGTTTTAAGTTTCGCTTTGATACTTGGTTTGTTTAAAGTATCGTTTGATACTTGGTTTTGTTTTATGTTTTGTTTTAAGTATCGTTTTGATACTTAAGGAGTTTTACCAAAGAGTATCAATTGATACCTTTGATTAGTTTCGTTCATGCTAGACATGAACAGATTTGTATATTTAAAGACCGCCTGTTTCTACGATAGAAAAGGCAGACTTTGACAGACCGTATTTCAATATACATGGTTGAACGGTTACTTCTTTGTTCCTCAGTACACCCTTGAAGCCTCCTTTAGTTCTCAGCTCTCGCCTCCTCTCTGGAAGAGCAGGCCACCTGCCAACTATCGTATCAATTACCGATAACGTGAATAGCACCTTGCGAACACGTTACAATCACCATATTATCTATTGATTTCCACCCAGTCAGCCAAAGCCATCATTAAACCTGTATGATAAGGAGACACAAATAGATTTTGCATTTTGGGCAATCAGAATGGATCCTAAGTAGATTTGTCTTTTCTTTTCTGCCTTTCTTATGTAAATAAATATATTAAAGTAAGAATAATAATATAGTACAGATGTTTTGTCTATTCTGATGAGACATGGATTGAATTTGGACACCCTCGCAGTCCACGAAATATTTCACGTCCACATGGATCAAATGCTTTGGACTATAATACTCACCACTTTCATCCTTCTGGTATCCACATTATGTTTTGGGCTTGCATGACGTACTGATATTGTGGACCATATTTTGTTTGGGAGAAAGAAACGAAGGAAGAGAGAGATTATTTTGGTGAAATTATTAGACAAGAAAATATAGCAAAGAAACACCGGCAAGATGAAAGAAGAGCTTGTGGATGTATTGAAGGAATAGAGGAATCTAAAATTTTACAAAAGCTCAATGCAGATATACAATACTTGGACCAAACAGATCCACTACCCTCCGGTTACTCAAGGCAAAAAGGGTGTCTGGAGTGGGAATTTAAAGAGCTGATAAAGGAGAGAGGTAATCAGAGCAAGGGAGAGATCGATTGGTTATTCTATCGCGAGTGTATTCTACAGCCCTTGTATTATCCCTTCCTTCAGCAAATTGAATAGAAGACAGGCAGAGAGACTTGGGCGGTCGAAGACAAGGCATCCACTCACATAACAGCAAAAGAACTTGGAATGGAGGAGTGGGAAAGGCTTGGAGTACGCTCAGTTGATTTGGCGGCCCAATCACCAGATCTGAATAAGATCGAACCGCTTTGGAACTATTTGTAATGATCTCTCCTTAGATAGTTAGTTCTTGGCGACGGGGAACAATACTTCTCTTCTTCTGTTTCTTTCCTTAGTCCTACGATAGCACTAGGCCTCTGCCTACGTTACTGATAGTACAAGACCTCAGTCTTCTACCGGGAACGCCTATCGTAAGCTTTCTCTAACTCTTCTTCGTGAAGAGCTTCCCTTAGCATAATGATAACGTTGCAATAAAGATAAAGATCGTGAAGGTGTTTTATATTTGTTAAAGTAATAAGAAGGAAAAGTACTTAGAATTCAATTCAATTTTATTTAAACTCGTACTGTCAACACTAGCATATGACGAGCCCCCGCAGGCATAGGGATACCACTAACCGGTATACAACTAATCCTAAGCTAACTAAATCTACGGCCCCATACCTCCCATCCTCGAGTCATGCCTGTACCAGAACTAATTACAAGACTATCAAACAACTCAGTGCCCGCCCCAGTTCAAGTCTGTAGCCTCTCTGGTATGAAGCCAACCAGCACAAAGCGTAGCCGAAGCTGAGCAAAAGACTGACCCAACCAGGTTCCTCATCCAACAAATATAAAATCACTACCACCCAGTCTGAAAACCGCTTCGCAAAACCTTCTCTACAGTAGAAAACCAACAAATACACAAATTAAACCCACAGGCAGCATAAAGGTAGGGAGGAGGCGACCCACATGTCCACCTCTCGTACCCGCATGCCAGGCCGTCAACCCTATGAACCCACTTTACCAGTTGCCTCCGAAGAGCGTACCAGTAAGGAGGACCTGTACCCGCTGCCTGTCCCCCAAACAAAAATATCTTAAACAAAGGAAATACATAGAGGTAGTAACAGACCAAACCGGTCAGTGGGGCCTATCTCCTACCCGTGGTGCCATGCCTCCTCCTGCCAGACCCATAGCCAAACCAAACAAACCAAACAAACACCACAAAACCCAGGGTACAAGACCCAAACAAGTCCAACCAGGAAGTTGCAATCTACTATCAGCACAGGTGGCCATCAGCCAGCCAGGCCACTGGGGAGCTTTACAGCACTCAGCAGCTTCACCCAACAGCTCCGGCCAGACTGAAAACACTTAATTAGACCTCACCCAACCTGACGCAGGCCTGACAGGTGCTCGTAGGTGCCTCTCCCCCCCCAATCACCCCCTCCCAAGCCCCACATGCCAGATGCCACAGAGCCCATCCAGCCCCCCAGCCCCTCAGGCAGATCAACTATCTGATAGCCACAGGATAGCCTATACCTAGCCCCACCAGGCAGCCATTGGTCTTGGCCGCACTAACAGAGCCCCAACCCCCAATATTGTATAGCTGAGGGGAACCCACCAGCTACAGCTAGGAGTCACAAAGGAGGCAGCACCAACACCCAAAGGCACCGGCACCAGCTACACCATCCAACCCCGCCGAACCGAAGTCTAACTGAGCCAGGAAAGAGTAAGTAGAACCAGCCAAAGCCAGCCCCACAGGTCTAGCGACAGGCACAGACTGAACAATGGGCAAGAGGCACCCCCAACTGCTGTGACGTGAAGGGGGAGGGCGCACGAATAGGAGCAGACAAACAGAAGGTAGGCCCTACTTGCAATGGGTGAAGTCGCCAACCACAATCTGTGACCAAACCAGCCAAACACATAGACAACACGAGTGTCTAACAGCCAATCATCCCACACCACTCCAGGCAGCAATAATAACCACACTAGGGGGTAAGAGTTTTCAGGGTCAAAGCCATCCCCACCGAGGCAAGGTGGAGACACCCGACCGAACCACCATAAATGCCACAAGGGCTAACTTCTAAGAGAACAGCGATAAACAACATCGTAGGATTCTGACCGTAGAAACATAACGTAACAAGGAGGGGCCAAGCGGGTACCACCCTGCCATCTGAGGAATGATGCGGCTGGTACAACGAGTTGAACTTGGGAAGGTCATCAGTCTAACCTAAGGGCGTTTTGTATTGTGAGAACTAAGGACTCCATTAAAACCTAACAATAAACATGAGCTGGCCCAAAGAATGACACTGGTGATCACTCCAAACACAAGGTTCAATTCCC